CAAATCTTTTCTGAGCTTCCCAGAAAAATACGAAAAACCGTCGAGTTCATGCAACCGGCAGCCTCGAAATTCGCCGAGTGTTAGTGGATTTTATCGGATTTGTCTGAAAACGCAGCAGCCAAATTAGCGATATTTATCTGGGACCATTTCTTTGCTAGTTTGTACTTGGGACCATTAGCTCCGGGACCATTTGTTTCGGGTCCATTTATTCCGGGATCATTTATTCCGGGACCATTTCTTCCGTTTCCCCTAACGATACCGTAACGCACAGGCCTTTTCTTGTAGGGGGTACTGACTAAGCTCGACCGCCAACACACCGTCATGCGCGTTAATGAACACAAGAAGAGCCAGCTGACATTCTCCCGATGCCCAGAGTATTCCTTCACATCGCCCATCGGGCTGTTACTCTTTTTGTCTTTCCCCTTTTTTTTGGCGCTTGCAAGCACCATTTTCCGAATGGCCGTTTTAAGAACTTTTGGCACGGGCAAGTGCTTCAACTGCGTGTTCGATGGCGGAATTCTTTTAAGCGGGGAGCCCGCGCTCGCTCGTGCTCCGCTCACGCGCAGCTCAGATACCAAAACCTGCCGGAGCGGCGATTTCTGGAAACAGCGGCATAGGAAGGCCGAATAGACCGAGTCACTAAGCGTTCCACGCATGCGTGACGCCGCCATAACAGCACTTCACAGGAGGCAGGTATAAGGCAGGTGGCATAGTGCACGAGACAGCTCGCGCCGTCGCGTGCCCGACTCGCGAAGGCCCGCAGGGGAGTTCTCGCGCGTGCACAAACACTACAGTTCTCACGATACGTGGCGACAGCAGTGGCGTAGAAAAACTGGCTGGTGAGATCGGTCGATTTAAAAACAACGACGGACGCTTCTTGACGACACGGTGCATAAGAGAACAGGCTGTTTTTATCGCAAATTCGAATTTTACATTTGTAAACACTCCTCAGGCAACCGTGGAGCGAGCCCCGAAAGAAAGCGGGACCATTTTAATAGTGGATTGTTGTCTATTCAGACACTAATCAGAAAAAAAAAAACGGATTTATGAAGCAAACGATACGAGACCATAATAACAAACTCTCCACGTCAAGGTGTTTATCACCAAAAACAAGTACAAATAAAAAAATAAATAAAAAAGAAAACAATACGGGGAGAGGATTGCGATCTTTTTCACCTTGGCCTCGCTCCGCTTGAGCATAACGGTGGGGTACGTTTAGGGATATGTAAGTGTGATAGTAATTTAGCGCAATTTATCTGCCAGTAATTTGCTTCTTTAGTAAGGTGCAGAAGTGCCCATTTCAGCGCTCTGTTTCCGCATCCAATGCGGTGAAAAAGTTGCCTGCCTCTTGCGCAGGGGTTGCAGTGACGTCGGACCGACTTCGACCTCTGATTAGCTTCGATTGAAAGTATAGTGGGTAGACCCTAATGGGGCTAGATGCTTCGAGGTCTGCGCTCTATTTGTTTCCATCAGCCAATAGGAGCCTGGCGTTATGACGTCATCGCAAACCCTATGCAAGAAGCAGACCAGCTTGCGCTCAACATTGGTTCCGTTTTCTACTTGAATACGAACAAAATCTTCAAAATTCAGAATCACAAACGCAGTAAGCGCGAGGCGAAGAAGGTGTTAAAGACAAAGGGAAATGTGAGGAAAACATCCGCTGATGTATGGCTGCAGAAGTTACCAAGCAAAAGAAACAGGGTGATTTTTTAAAGGCTTTAGAGATTTGTTAAAAAAAAAAAAAAGCCGTGAAAGTTACTTTTATGCGGTTTGTGCAGGTGAGTTATACGGCCAGGAGGACATTATGTGGGTGGCTAATCTTTGTGATAAGTCGGTTAATTAATTAAAGTTCGTTAATCAACTTTTTAATTAGTAAAATAGACATATAGGTTCAATTAGAAACTTGCTGAACGTCATTAAAATACCAAGTAGCAAATCAGCTTTTAAGCAGGTTGACCTCTTCGTGACTGTAAATAAACAACTATTTTCTCTCTCATTAAAAACCACTAAATCAACTCTTTTTAGAAGGACTTGAAACTCGTGGGAAACATTAGGGGCGCGCCAAACTTACCCCTCGTGAAGCAGGCGCAAAGCTAGCAGTGGCGGAATGCGTATGATTAGATTATCATCCGCGTTCCGCCACTGCTAGCTTGGTGTAGAGGAGGCTATGACTCTACTCGAGCACACTTGCACCCAGGGGCGAATGTAGGGGTCAGGCTCTGGGGAGGGGTGTGCATCTGCAGAGTGATCTCACGTCACGGGTGAAGTGATCGATTTTGTGGACAAAATATTGGCCATTTCACCAGAAACCGAACATTTCATTAAAAATGTTCTCATAGAAAAAAGAAAACACGTTGTTTTTGGTGCAGAGGGGGCTCGGGGGATTAAAAACGCCCCCGCCCGCAGTTAGGTTGCCGCACGTGCAGAAAGAGTCCCCACAAGGCGACATCGACGTCTCAAGGCCCATACGCACATTCGCGTTTGAGCGCGGTGCGTTCCGTAGCGGCAAGCGGACGCGTTGCGTTGCGAAGACCGCTTGCGCCAAACTTGTACGCACAGTTGCGGTTGACTGCGTGTCGACACGCAGTCAACCGCAGTAAAGAGCCAATAAGAACGCGCTATCGTCGCTAGTGGCTCACCAATAGTAAGCGAAATCCAAGGCAACGTGGCGGCGCACAGCGACAGCGTCGAAGTGTTCGATCTTGGGACAATCTCGCCGGCTTCCCCGACGTTTTGGAGCGCTTGAACCATCGCAGCTTTGGAAAATACAGTCCCCACCGCTCCCCAAAACGAAAAAGCAAGCACTGCGACCGGCGAACTGGATGCGTCTCGCCGAGTCCGCCGGGTGGGGCGAGCCAGTGTTGTACACGTTCCTCAAAAAAAGGAACGAAAGGTCGTTCCTCGTTCCTTCTGATTTTTGGAACGCGTTCCCGTTACAAGTTCCATCTGTGAGAAAGGAACTCGTTCCCGTTACAGTTAAAAAAATGGAACGTATCGTTACATATACGTTACATTCGCATTTTTCTGATCACCATAATTAGTTAGATCAAGGAAAATTTTTCTTTTAAAATTTATCCCATTAAATGGCAGCATACGAATTTGAATGCAGTGATGGCAAAGCAACAGGAGAAGAAGACACACGCCAGCAGGGTTCTTTTTGTTGGAATATTAACCTTTTAAAATCTCAGCGTTTTACCATATTCCTGTTTGGAATGGGCGATTCAGACGAGCCAAATGTACTCTTACCCCATATTGAACGAGCTTTTTACAACAACCTCACACGTTTGAATCTAACAAAGACCCTTGTTCGAACTTGAGAACGGTTGCTTCTTGATGTTGGTGTCCGCAAGACGAGCAAGTAAAGAAGAGGGTACGACTTTTGAAGGTCAGTCTTGAAAAATACAAGTCCTTCTCCGTGAAGTGTAGATTCGTTGTTCTGTTTGAAGGTGGGGGACAAGGGGAGAAGTAAAGATTAATTTTTTGTATCATTTAAGTGACCAATATTTAGGATACAAGGGTGCGTTCCATGTCAAGTAACCTGTCCTTTTGCTGTCACTGTAGGCCTGTTTGTGGAAGTTCAGTGATAGCTGTAGTCGGCCTTAGATTTCTGGGTGTATGAGTATTCGTGGAAGAAAAGAAAGTGGCTAAGTTTGAAACGTCCCTCTTTCTGTGTCTTTTCCTTCGACTAAACGTTTTGCGTTTCGTACCGCACTCTCGGGCACCGCAAAAATAATAAATGTCCACTAGCTCTCCTGCACCCGACTGTTACCAAGCGAGGACTACACAAAATAAACCCCAAGTAACCAAAAATTTAACGAGACCCTGCCCTTTGTAAAGATAAGGTTTTATATTCTTAGAATTTTCCTTTTAGAAATAAAATACAAATTACCCCATTGGACGAAAAAAAGGAACGCCGTTCCTCTTTCCGTTCCAGTAAAAATGTAACGCGTTCCCGTTCCAGTTCCAGCGATGCAAAATGGAACGGTGGCGTTCCTCCGTTCCTCCTAAGGAACGCGTTCCAGGAACGCCGTTCCTTGGAACGCCGTTCCGTACAACACTGGGGCGAGCGAACACGTCACCCCCTCTCCTCTTTCAGCTTCTGATTGGCGGAACGCACCGCAACGCTTCGGAAAGTTGAGCGAGCTTCTACTCGCTTGCGTCGCGCTACCGAGCGTTGCGGGAAGGCGCGCGTCGCTCCGCAAGCGACCGCGCCTGGCCGCAAGGACTCTGCAACGCACTCAAACGCGTTCAACGCGAATGTGCGTATGGCCCTTTAAAGGGGCACTGACACATCAAAATCATATTTTTTTTTATTATCCGAAACGATTGAAAACGATGCCGGGACATTACCCTCAAACTTTGAAATTTGGGAACTCAGTATTTGTGAAATAAAAAAACAATTTCCAAATGCCGAATTCGAAGTTCCCGTGCGATCGGCGCCGGTGCCTTGACGTGAAATATTGCGGAGTCCTGAGAGTCCACTTTCTTTCACCACTCCCTGCTGTTGCCATGGAGACCCAAAGCGAGGAGGAAAGGAGCGAGCGCCGGCGTTGCCGCGGATCGGTTTTGAGCGGTGTCGTCTCTTTTCCGTTGGAGGATACAAATCCAGGAGACGGCACCATAACGAAGTCCCGATTTTTGGTATTTGAAAACGAAGGGCCGTAGTGCGTTCGCAATTGCGTTAAAAAACATGTTTTAGGATTGCCGTTATTAAATGTTATAAAGATGTCGCCTACAAAGCTTCTAAGTTTCATGATTCTTGACGTCACGAATCAAAAGAAGCGAGGAGGCGAGAGGCGGGAGAATCAAACGCCAAAAATAAAAAGGCGCGCGCGCGCGCGGGAAATTGTTTTTTCGCGATGGGCTTTTTTTTTTTTTGCGTGTCTATGACTGCAACTTGCATCGTTTTCGACAATAAAAAGAAATACGACCTTTGGGGTGTCAGTTTAACGAAATGGTGAGATGGGTCCCTAGCGGCAAGAGACGCGAGCTCCGCTCACCGGCGGCCTGGATGCTGAAGACGCAGGGCTTGAGCTGCAAGCCCACGCTGTTCTTGCCCCAGCAGAGGAGGGAGCCGTAGTCGGCGCGGCTGCGCGGGATGTAGGAGGCGACGCTGCGCAGGCCCACGTCCAGGGACATGGCGGCCAGGTGCCGTTCCTCGAAGGAGTTGTTGAAGCGCCACTGGAAGACCACGTCGGCCGGGTCCGCGTCCAGTTCGCACGACACCTTGGCCGTCTCGTCCCTGGCCACGCCGTACGCCTGCTTCTGGCCCCCGCGGCACACCGGAGCGTCTGCAAGGCCCGAGACGCGCGTCGGAACGCTCAGCATTTCATGATTGCAGCCAACTGAAGGTTGCGGCATGAGCAGATAAGGACGTCGAAGGACCAATCACGAAGGGCGAAGATAATAGGTCAAGCGCCGTGTTTCTCAAGCTATCAGCAAATAGGAACGAAACCCGTTGGAAACTTGAGATCGCAACCGCAAAAGCCCGAATTGAAGAGTGCCGCCTTTTATTTGCTCGTGAATCTTTTTGTTAATCGCTGGAAGTATATCCGGCATCGGCCTGTCATTACACCCGTACGCAGTTTTTTTTATTACTTCATTTATGCGCAGAAATGCAGAGGTTTCAGTTTTCATTGATCGTACGAATTCACCTACAAGAGAAATTATAAACCAGAACATAGTTCTTCTTGTGAAATTAATTCGAAATATTACGCATATTTTTACCCCCAAATTTTTTTTAAAATTATTTCCAACCATAGAGTGACAATATAGAAGTTTCTGTTTTTGTGGAACACGCTTTATTTTCCGAATTAGGCGGGTCAGCGGAGGCGAGAGCGGGCCGAGATTGGACTTGAGTGCCGCGTTAGCGTTCGGCCGAGACTCGTGTCCAATCGGCGAGGACCCGAGTCCGGTCGAACGCTGACTCAGCACTCGGGCCCAATCTCGGCCCGCTCTGACCTCCGCTGGCTTTCGTACAAATTACCGTACTGCGGCTTTGCTATCTGCGGGCTGTCGCGACTCGATGGTCATTCAGCTTCAGCGGCACACAGTTGCCCACCACAAAATTTGCCACAATTTGAAATGTTTTAGAGCGCAGCTCTTAGGGGCCCGTTCCCGGCTTGAGCGGCGTCGCCGTCGCCGTCGCCGTCGCCGTCGGCGTAACCAAGGTCATCCCAAGGTCACGTGACCCCCAAGGTCACGTGACCCCCAAGGTCACGTGACCCCCAAGGTCACGTGACCCCTCCAGGTCACGTGACCCCTCCCAAGGTCATCTCAAGGTCACGTGACCCCACGTGACTCCCAAGGTCACGTGACCCCTCGAGGTCACGTGACCCCTCCCAAGGTCATCTCAAGGTCACGTGACCCCAAGACCCCACGTGACCCTTTGAAGGTCACGTGACCCCCGTCACGTGACCCCTCTGAGGTCACGTGACCCCCGAGGTCACGTGGTCTCCTCCCCAAGGTCACGTGACCCCCAAGGTCACGTGACCCCTCCCAAGGTCATCTCAAGGACACGTGACCCCAAGGTGACCCCCACGTGACCCCCAGGTCACGTGAACGTGACCCCTCTGAGGTCACGTGACCCCCCGAGGTCACGTGACCCCCCTCCCCGAAGTCACGTGACACCCCCCCCCCCCCCCGAGGTCACGTGACCGCCCCCCCGGAGCATATTAAAGAATGAGGGGAGGAGGAGGGGTCTACCCTCCCCTCAGTACCCTTCACTCCTCCTCCTCAAGAGCTGCGCTCCAATTCGGCGTTACAGGGATTTGTAAACGGCTTTCACTTTTTTTTAGTATATATATATATATATATATATATATCACATTAGGATGATGCTGTCGGCAGCATAGAGGGCAGGACAGGCCACGACAGAACATGGAATGTTTATGAAGGCCAAGCTGGCCCATGGGGCCTGGCGCGAGATGGTCGTCATCTTCATCTTCCTAACAAAATATATATGCAAAAAAAAAAGAAACCTGCGGACGTAGAGAATTTTGTTTTCCCCGAAAGAAAGAGCTTCAGATGCTCTCTCTTTTATGTTCTTGCCCAGGGCCCAGCGAAACCTAAGCCGGCCCGGACCCAGCGGTGGCCTAAGACTTCGAATTTCAGCCAGCTAATGTTAAGAAGGAGCCGTGGTTCAGCAATAGTCATCTAGAATACGCCTTTTTTTGTTATCTTTGTTTCGGATGTCGAAGGAGCTGGTCGTCAGGTTTATCCGTCTGGGAGCGAACACGTGGCACGTACAAGAAGCTCTTTCCCCTGAGACCCGTTTGTTGAGCTCCGTTACGCTGATTGTCGGGAAGGACGCGGGGCCCCGCCGATAATCCCCGGCAAGCTGGAGCCCGACAAGCGGCTTACGCTCGCGACAGGAGCTTATGTTCAGCGCGCCTCGGAGAGTTCACGCCCCTATCCAGGTGGCCTCCGGCAATGTTCCCGGCCGAGCACCGACAATATGGAATAGCACTTAACAGTACCAGCAACTGGAGTTCCCATAGTGCCCAGGTACCGAAGTATCGGCAAATACGTTGAGAATATCATTCGACACTACACACAGCGAAAGGAACTAACTTTTAATAAAAAAACAAAAAACAAAGGAGGTATGTTTGTCTTAATAAAAATTAAAAACTCGATCCTCAAAAAAAAAAAAAAAAAAATGAAAATAAGACTAGCACAGGAAATTGTGACGTAAGAGTGCTTGTGCGTTGTGTCTCTCTTTTTTGTGTTTTACCCGGCCTCACTTTTTTTATTTTTGAATCGCGAAGACAGTTTGGAAATTGGCAATACTTTGCAAGCTTTGTTATTTGCGCTTTCTCTGGTAAGTTGAAACGAGGCGGCGCCAGTATGCAAAAAAGCCCCAACCACTTTTTATGATCTAGATTCTATGAGCCATAAACAAGCTGCGTTTATTTTATGTTGTATGGAAATGCCAATTTTCGTTAATTTTAAAATTCTTAATTAAAAAAAAAAACAACTACGTCGTCGTTTTAGTTTTATCTAGATGTCTCTCTGTACCGGTGTTTTTTTGTTTTGTTTCTGTTTCTTTGTGGCTTATAAATGCGCGGGTCTACTTTCTCGTGTCTTCGTGAAAAGAAGAAGCGAGGTCGCTCCGATAAAATTGTCTTTTGACTTTCTCAAGAGCCGAGAGCAACCCAAAAAACTAAGAGAAAAAGAGAGAGCCCGTCAATACGAGCATTTGTTTTGATTATTAAGATCTACAATGACTTTTCTAAACTGTGTCACTGGAATATTGTCACGAATGACAAGTGATGAGGCGATAATAACTGAAGAAACTAAATGTTTAATGGGGTGAACTTGTGCCCAAAAATAAAAGGAAAAAGAGAGATAACAACAAGAGCGTCGCGGGCGTCGAAGGCGGCGAAGCATCAGGATCGAACGCTGAGGCGAAACTGGCCTGGGCTCACCACGCGAAATCCCTTCTGGAATAATCGGCGAAGAAAGTTCGACGCGTAGAACATTCGGACCTCGAACACGCAACAGGATTCGCGAATTTTCCAGGACACTAAACTGCAGGAATAAACAAAAGACACGTCGCTCCCAGGAATCCAACCCTGGCTTTTCGCGTGGGAGGCAGGCGCGATAACCGTTAGGCCACGCGCGCGATGCCTACTTGGCCAGCTGCGCGCGCAGCAATATGACACTCGGATAGAGGAAGTAATAGTAATAATAATAGCTTATTCACAGATCTGCATCAAGGTACAAAAAAAAAAAAAAAAAAACGCTCTCACAAAAGCACTTTCGTGCTTGTTCGTGAGGACAGGCAGTCCACTGAAACTATAGTTTTACGCAGGTACTCAATTTTTACAATCCTACAAGCATTTGCTTCAAACGTCTATTCAGTGTTGAAGCACAAAGGAAACAAAACAGAGACAAAATATATTCGTTACAATTTAGACATCACGTCTACAGTACTAAGGAAATAGCATGTGCCAAATACTCACAAACAAGAAAAGAGCAGTCATGATTCCCAGAAACGACAAAAGTGAGTATAAGGTATCGCAAAGGAAAAATGCACAAAGGCAACCAAAAAACCAACAGGTTTCGTCAAGGAATTTGGTGGAAATATACAAGCAATTGTAATATTGTACACAGGGAATTGGAAAACGTACGCATGAAGATTAAACCTCCATGTTAATCTTGTACTGGGCAAAAATACGCCGTAGAAAAAAAATGAGTTCACGAGAACGACTTGTTAACCTTCAGTTTCGTGTATACACCATTTCCTCATTTCCTTTTTTACAAACTTTAAGGAGTGAAGAGTGTATACATTTTCAGGAAGTTGGTTGAAATATCTGGACACATAAAATTCACGGTGCCTAGTTCCATAGTTAGTATATATTTTTGGTATCTGAAACTTTTCCGTTTTTCTCAGTGGCCTTTGTTTGATAGTATTTATTTTGAACTCGGATCTAAAGTGATGATTCGTTGGAATGACAAATTTTCGCAGTTTATTTACTGTCAATAGGTCAAGCTCTGACAGCTGATCTTCACACACCATATTTTCAAGTGTGGGTTCATACGCGATGTTCCGCACCATCGTTTTCATTAAGTGGCGTTTCTTTGAAAAGTCTCTAGTTCTGATGCCCGAAACAGAACAAAAAGGGCCAGATTTTACAAATAAGTTTTCAACAAAACTAAACGAAGAAAGCAGTCAACAAATAGAGATGCCTTCATTCACATGAGCTATCACTTAAGCCAGTACAAAGCGCAAAAACAACAACAACAACAACAACAAAACAACAGTGGTTTATCGAACCACGTTTGATTCCGAGTACGAGCCATTTGGGCCATTAGCCAACCCGCTAAGAGGCGCCGAAGAAATCACAAACAACCAGAGGATTTCCACGATGACCGAAGATAATTGAGAAATATGTCGTCGGTGTTTGTTAGTGAAAAAAACGTACCTAGAAAATTTGTAAAACTTCAAGAAGTCTGCGCGCAACGCCCCAACAATCCCTACTCAAGTTCAGGCTCAATGTAGTCCAGTCATGGGCACATTACTGGTAACATGTAAAAGTGTAACAGTTACAGTTACTGAGGGGAAAAGTAACCGTGCTGCAGTTACAAAATTGACAGAGTAACTTGTTGCAATTACTTCTCTAAAATAACGCCATTACTTCGTCGTTACTTTACGGAGAATATTTGAAAACATTCAAAAGGAACCTTCCGTAATACGCCTTTAAATTAGCATAAATATTTCATAAGACATTGTATTATTCACGGTCATGAATCCGATTCTTTGAGAAACCAAGATTTTTCGAATAAACAT